CGGGATCGGAGGAGTGGACGATGGCCGGGCCATTTTATTGCTCGATAAGCAGATGAATTCGTCAGATAATTTCACTGGCCCGGATGCAGATGATTTTATTAGCTGGTACACCGTGCACACGCGCGCGCGGCCAGGGAGAGGAATTTTTCAGTGCCGGACACGATTGAGATGACACACGCGGGGCCCCGGATGAGAGATCTCCTCGGGCCGATAAAGGGATGCTAGTAGATCTCTCTTGGTGTCTTTGCACCGCCTCGCCTTTGATCGATCATTTTCCCCTGGTTTTTGTGCGGCGGACCGCCACTTTCTCTTTCTCTTTTCGTCTCGGGTGTCCGTGGATAGAGTGGTCCATAGACGTCGAAGACTTTTAACATTGATTGCGTTCCAAATTTACGTGGACTGATAATCTGTCTGGTGAGGTATAATAGCGAGTATCTAGATTTTTCTTTGGGTCTTTGCTATTTGTCTTCAGATTTACTAGCTTTTTTCTAATTTATGTATAACGAACCACTCATCTCTTTCCCTTTCTTTGTTATATATCCATGGATAATCTACGGACACATCAAAGTTGTCTGAAGTCCATTCCAAATCCTCATGGTCCAAGAATCCTTCGTCCAATAAAGTGACACTAGCAGATTCCTTTTGTCTTTGCGTAGCCTAGCTTGATCCATCATGCTGCCCCTATTTTTTGTGCATCGAACCTCTTTCTCTTCCTGCCTCGCGTGTCTACGAGAGATTAGAACAGTCCACGGACGCATTAAACTGCTCCAAGATCTCGTATCCAGAATCCGCACGGACCGCAGCGGCGTTTCTCTTCGGCGAGATTCGTTACAGCATATCCGGGGTCCAAATCGAGCTCGCCGGGCCCTAGGAACGCGAATATCAACCGCAACCGTGGCTCGATGTCCGGGCCAGGGACCATCCAATCAGTCAAGTCGGTCCGCAATCAAACTCTCTAGTCCTCTTTCTTGCTCTGCCTCTCGCCGTCCGTCGTTTCAGCCGAAATCACGACGGCAGCCGGACCTTCGTCAGAGAACGCCGAATAAATATCGTTCCGGCGCGAATAGGAGAAACGAGAAATGAAGGGGAGAAGCGGGAGGAAAGAAGGGTTGAGGTCTCTGTGGCGGAGATTCCATCGTATGGTGTGTGCCGACGCGAAAAAATAATTCCGTCGCTGGACGCGTCCTTTTGTCTTCGCCTTCCACCCGGTTTTTCTCTTTTTTCAACTCTCTCTCTATCTGTCTCTCTCGCTCTCTGTCTTTTTTCCCTACCTTTCTGCCCCCCCATTTTCATCCGCTCATAAAGCCGGGATTCATATTAAAGGGCACGACACTATAATTAATGCCGGACGGTCACGAAAGACCGAGAGGTGATGCGCTCGCTGGATTTCGCGGAGCAACGGGCCTGCGGTCCGCACATGCGTCCGCGTTACACGCTTGCACGCATGACGCGTGCCGCGAACCTACCCTTGACCGCGGTGCGCGTGCTACGTTGAAGCCCAGGACACGCGAGAACCGTCGCAATTACGGGGGTAATTAGTTGGAAGTTTGCGGAGTTGTAATTGCCCGCGAGGATACCGTAATTATCTTTGTACCCTTCGTTATTTGACGCTGCGTGTTGCCCAGTGATTTGAATAGTGCTTCGCTCTTAGTGTCGAGTATCGCTTCTTCTTCAGTATTTATTGTTGACGTTATCACGAAACAATTTCAGTTTTATCCTTCTAATGCACATTCTAATTGAGGGACATGAGAGTTTGCGAAACTTATTTGCAAATTTTATAAACTATGTTACGGTGATGGTAATCTTGCGTGAACAAGTAGCACTTTAAAGTATCTCGACGACTCGAAGTGCCGTGCGCATACATCGTAAATATTATTTTTGAACGATTTATGCCTTATGAATATGCATTTTGATTCGTTTCACTCTTCATAATTACACGTCTGCGTACAGTGTAGCAAACGTTGCAGTTTCAACCGTGATAGTCCCCGGGAATCAAAGCTGCTGAATCTCCTATCGTTCAGGTTACCAAATCACATAAATTCCTCAGCATAACTCGACGGCATGCGAGCGAAATTCATTCCGTGGAACAGAAGGAAATGTGCGCGCGCCGCGCTACAAATTCGCGAGAGTGAAAAAACTCGCCGCCGCAACGGAAACTTGTATTCAGCTCGCGGAACGCGTTCGGATACATAAATCCGCGCCGTAAACCTTACAATGTAGAGACGGTGTCGACTAAAAATCAGCTACCCGGAGGGAAATCGAATCGCGACGCGACGGACGTGGGAGTATCCGTCCCGTGACAGGCCGTCATCTATACCGGTAGCGAGGGGCCGCGAGATCGTTCATAGGAACGCTTGCGTAACGAGTGACAAGCCGCGAGTCAAGAATTTATCGGCGAAGCTCGAAGATAGACGAGACTCGGCGGAGATTTACAACGTCAATGGGAAACGGACGGTATCGGGAAACAGTCTTAACCCTTCCAGTGACTTACATCACTTCGAAGGCCTGCAGCTGCGTGCTTAATTATTTCCAACTAACGAACACACTAGACAATACAGTCGTTGTTGTAAAATTGAAATAAATCATTGCAAGGTAATAAATCTTCCTATCGAACTCGAATGATTATATTTTCGTCGTTCCAAAATTCATTACTAGAAGATTGAAAATCCAGAATTGGAAAAGTGTAATCCATCATTCCTCAAACCGAAACGAAAGAAGATCAATGGCAGCGTTCAATATTGTTCGGCGAAATTTTCGCAATCGAAGACCCGTGGTACTCGAACGGTCAAGACAGGCACAAAGAAAAAGGGCGCACAAGAAGCGTGAAGGAGTGCAGAAGAAGAAGAAGAGGCGAGGTGAATGGAAATCGAAAGAAGAGAGCAGGTCCCGAGGATCGTTAGCCCCGTCGGGGCACGATCGGCGACGCCACTTCCGCAGAAACGACGTAAAACGATGTAAGAGGATTAAAACGCCGCGGGCCGATTG